CACCATCCAATTCTTCTAAACTCCAGTGAATATAGAGGTAACCAATCCATTCTCTCTTTATACGTCAGTCCTGCCATTCCGGGGATTAGTTTGGTACGCCTTTGTTTCACTCCCTCCATAGCCAGAACATGCTTTCTTAGATAAAGACACCAAAATCGCACACATTACTCCAGGTATGGTCTCACCAAGGCCCTATAAAATTGTAGCAAGACATCCCTACTCTTATTCTTGGACCCTCTTGTTACAAAGGTCATGCCGTATGCCCCTGCACCTGCATGCTTACTTTCAGCAATTGGTTTACATGGAAAACCAAGTCTTGTTGCAACTTCCCTTTTCTCATTCTTCTTTGGTATTCCCTCAAGGTGAGGATGACTTGCTTTGTGTGGGTTCTGCAGTGGCTAACAATCCAATCCTGGAGCCACAGTACCTGTCACAGCTGGGCAAGTGGAGTTTGATAAGGCAGCTGGGTGGAATGCTGTGGATTCTGCGTGCTCTTTCTGCTGCTTACACTTGGCCTCCACGTTATCTATTTTTTGATGTTCAAAGTCATTGGCGACTTCACAGATGTTTCTTTTCTTCTGTGCATTCTAGGGAAAGTGATTCTGATATGTTAATGGGGATGTTGCATATATTTAAGGAGACTTTGAGGGCTCATTGTAGCATTTCCTCTGCCCTCCTAGTGATGGTTACCATTGCGAAGCTCAGAGTAGAGCACTTTTTTAAAGGAGCCTTGAGTTGCACATACAAACAATGCAGCCCATCCATCAAAACTGGTCATTTGTGACCAATGTCTCAATACTGGGAATATTGGCCTGGGAGATAACGCCTATCCTGCCAGTGAATTTGTAGGAATTTCCAAAGGCTGTGCTGGTGATAACTCTCCAGGGATTTGAGGTGTCTGCTGTACAAGGTCCATGTTTCTGATGTACAAAAGAGGATGGGGATCCAGCTACTCTGTAGCCATTGAGCTTGGTACTCGGCTGGAGGTCTTGGACTTTGAACACTGTGACCGAAGAGTACACTAGCGATTTCATCGTCATTGTCTGCTCACACTGAGAGGTCCCGAGGTATGGGAAATTATCCTTGTTCTCTAGGAGCTTACCATGGATTTTGGTGGTTGTGTGGCAGTGTTGTGAGGCAGGAGCAGGCTGGTACAGAATCTTTGTTTTCCAGATGTTTAGTCTGAGGACCATTCTCTCATAAGCCTCAGTGAATGCATTGATGACGATTTGTAACTCGGCCTCTGAGTGTGTGCATGTGAGTCATCGTCTGTGCAGCTCAATGACAGAAGTTGCGGTGTCTTGGTTCTGGCCTAGACGTGTCAAAGATTGGACAATTCCTGCTCGTCCCATAAGTTAGCTCCATTCTGGCGGGGAGTTTCGTGGAGGTGTGATGGTGTGTTGCGGTGAGGAGGATGGAGAAGAGTGATACAGCCCTGCTTGACTCCAGTTTGCACTCATTGAGTTTGTGATAGTTCTATTGATGAGGATCACGACTTGCATGTCATCATGAAGCAGGGTCCCTGGCACTCTGAGGCAGCAATGCTAACCACTGAGCCACCATGCCACTCAATTTCACAATCCCTTATGGTTGATAAAGACAAAGACCTTTGTGAGATTGAAGAAGGCCATGTACAGAGGTTGGTACTGTTCCCTGAGCTTTTCTTGGATTTGTCGTGCACTGAAAACTATTTGCCTCTTGTTGGGCAGAAGCCACATTGAGACTTGGGGAGGAATTTTTCGGCCACTGGGAGAAGGTGGTTAAGGATTCTCGTGATGGCCTTTCCAGCGACAGACAGTAGGGATATCCCTTTCTAATTTCCATAATCAACCTGTATCCTTTCTTGAAGTTGGTCATAATTATGATGTCACAGATGTCCAACAGTCTCTCTTCCTTCCAGACAACAGTGACAAAGTTATGAATTTGTGTCAAGAATGCCTCTCCGTCGTATTTTAGTACTTCAGCAGAGATTCCATCTGCACCAAAGACCTTGTTGATTTTCAGCTGTCAGATTGTTTTTCTTGACTTCAGAATGGGAAGTGTACTGAGATAGTAATGGGTAGTACGTTGTAGAATGGTGTCGCGAGCAATTGCGTCGAAGGCTGCACCTTGGTTGAGGAAGTCGTCAAAGGGCTCCCTTCAGTGGCCATTGACTATGTCTTGGCCTATAATGAGTACTTCCCTGTTTTTGCTCTCAGTAGAGTAGGTTCCTGAGTACTTGGAACCACAGATGGCTTTGAATGCGATAAGGAAGCCGTGCACATTGTGGTTATTAACAAGTTGCTAAGTCTCCTGCACTCTTTCTACCCACCATCTATTTTTCTAGGTCACGAGTTCTTTGTTGCACCTCAGCCTTCAGTTGCCTGTAGGTTTGTTTCCATTCACTCAAGTTTTGGTGGAGCTGCCAGTTTAGGCACGCCTTGTGTTTGTGGTCAAGGAGATCCCGATTCTCCTGGTTTTTCTTGTTGAACCAGTCTTAATGTTTCCTGGTTGAGAGACTGAGCATCTCCACGGAGGTGTTGACTATGGTAGCTTTTAGGACCAGGTGCTGAGGGCACTCTGTTGTTCTGGCACGTGGTTGTCACCAGGTTGGCTGTGAGGCAGAACCTGAGTAGGTCTTTCCTCTCAGGGTCTTCCAAGTCCAGTAACATCGAATCTCTTGTGTCAGAGCTTTTTTTGCCTCTGCCAGTTGGGAGCTAGATGTATGGAGATGGTGGAGTGGGTTAGTCAGTGGAGGGTCCAGCAGTTGTCAGCTCTGGTCATGGCGCGGGTAATGAAATATATAGTCTATTAGTTGCCAGTGCTTGGAGCAGTGGAGTTGCCATTAGATATGTGCTTGTCTCTCTGGTGGAACAGGTTGTTTGTTATGACAAGGTTATTTCTATGCAATTTGTCAGGAGGAAGACTGCAGTGGAGTTTGTTTTCTCTGCGCCTAACATACCTTTTCATAGGTTTGCATCCCTCCCAACTGTGCCACTGAAATTGCTGAGGAGATAAACTTGGCTCCTGGACAGAGATCAGCTGAGGCTGGTGTAGAATGCCTCTTCTATCTTACCTGTTGTGTCTTTGGTCAGGGCATGGGCCTGGCGAACTGTGATATACTGCTTCTGGTCCATGTAGGGCCCAGGTGGGCCGTAGAGTCATGAGACACTCACTTACCCCATGGGAATTCATTGCGACGTCTGACCAATGCATTTCTTATGCCAACCCTGTACAGATGGTGTTCTTTTGATTTGTCTGTCTAGAAGAAGGTGTGACCACCACCCAGTTTTTTAAGCTGGCCTTCTCCTGCCAGTTGTCTCACTCAGGGTGGCAATGTCAATGTTACCTGCTTTGCCATTCAATACAAACATGGCTGATTTCATCTTGGCCTCAGCTCCACTTTCCTGCCCGCTCCCCATGACTCTTCAACCCATTACAAATTAAAAATCGCTCTGTCTCCTCCTTAAATTTACTCAATGTCCCAGCATCCACCGGACTCTGGGCTAGTGAGTTCCAGATTCACAACCTTTTGAAAGAAGTAATTTCTCCTCATATTTGTTTTAATTCAGTTCCCCTAACACTAAAACTTTGACCTCTCATTCTGGATTGTACCACAAGAGGAAATATCTTCTCTACATCTACTTTGTCAATCCCCTTTAATATCTTACATAACTCAATCGAATCTCCTTTCATTATTTTAAACTCTAGGAAGTATAGGCTTTAATTGCTCTTCCGAAGACAAAGCCTTCACCTCTGGAATCAATATCGTGAATCTTCTCTGAACAGCCTCCAATGCAAATTCTCCACTACGTAAATAAGGGGACCCAAACAGTAGGCAATACTGCAGATGTGGTCTCACTAATGCCTACTAGCCCACTAGACACTGCCTGCCACTCAGAAAATGACCCATTTGTTCCTACTGTTTGCTTGCTGTCTGCCAGCCTCCACTATTGTTTAAAATAAACATGGACTCAAAACATAAGCTGTGTTTTCCCTCTGCAGATGCTCCTTGACCTGCTGTGGTTCTCTAGTGCTGTAGCCTACCCGCACTCATTCTTCCTCTCCTATGCAGCAGAGCCAACCATGGTGCAATGAATTTGGCTGTTGGTACCTTTCTCTGAGAGGGCATTTCCCTAACAGTATCTAAAGAAGTTTTACAGGGTAATGGCCACCCGTGACTCCTGCATTACTTGCCTAGGCCTTTTGCTCTCCTGGGTGGTCATCCATTCCCTCCCTGCCTGTGGAGTCTTAGCCTGCAGATTGACAAACTCTCTATTCACAATACTCTCAGAAGCCTCCACACAGTGTCTTCAGTGTTGTTCCAGAAAGAAACTTCTGCTCCAGGAGCTGCAGCACATTTCTTGCAAATGTTCTGGTGTCAGGAACTGGAAATGTGCCCAATTTCCCACATAGACCAGCAGAACCATCCCATGGCCTTGAGCTCTCCTTCCATGATTTACACCTTAAATTTATATTGTTAGATCGCTCTTAAAATCAAATAATATTAATTTCTCTGGGGCCCTTCTTCTCTGGACCTCTGCATTATTGTCCTTACAAACTATAAACCCAATATAAAGACCTTACAAACTATAAGCTATGAAAATGGTACACTCACCTGACCTTACCCATCACTTTTTGACACTCATCCTTGACTACTTCACTGTGATGCTGACCATGGGACACTCTTCCCACACTGCTTCAATGTGAAGCTGTGCAGGAGTCTCTTCCCGGACTGCTTTACTGCAATGCTGATTGTAGGACACTTTTCCCACACTGCTTCAATATGATGCTGCCACAGGACACTTTCCGGAGTGTTTCACTGCAATGCCGACTGTGGGGACACCTTTTCCAGACTGCTTTTCTGCAATGCTAACTTCAGGATTCTCTTCCCTCTGTTCAACGAAGCAAATCTGTGGAGGTAGCTGAATTAATCAGTCCTGCTTTCTTAAGGGAAGAAGAGAAACATTTCTGTTGAAATGCTGTTCAATTGTTAATCTAACTGTGCTCTACATTTTCAGACTTCGAGAATTTGGTGGAGGAAGTACATATGACAAAGAATCCGTAGCAATCATAAAACTGAACAACACAACAGTTTTGTATCTAAAAGAGGTGACAAAATTCCTTGGCCTTGTTTGCTTTCTTAGAGAAGAAAGTTTTGAGCGGAAAGGTAATTTTTGTTTATTCTTCCAGAATAAAATTGCTCACAATCATAAAGGTATCTATTTCATACATTGTTGTGAAAACTACAGTATCCAACTCCATATACATGTCCTTGAAATAGACATCTTTTTATTTTTCTGGACCATTGTCCTCATAATAAAGATACTGCTATGTAACATTACCTTCAGTTTTCTTTGTGCCCTAAATGGGAAAAACCCCCTGGCTTTGTTCAGTATTTTTTTCGAATTGCATGTTCAAAATGATCAATTTGCCATTTGTGGAATTACTAATATGAACCCAAATCCTATGATTTCTTGACATGAGTATGAGCATGAGAATTTTTAAGCTACCATTCCAAAAACAATCTTTAAGCAATATTCTGCATTTGTTCATTTTTCCCATTTTAGAGAATTCTGCTATGGTAAAACAACAACCCAGCTAACAACTGGCACAATCAGTGAAAAAGTATTATAATGTTAAGGTAATTTTTGAGAAGAATATGGAATAGCAAGAGCCCACCAACATCTTTGCAGGCACCTGAAGATGACCAATAAATAAACATCACGGCGTCAGAACTAAAAGAAAAATTTTAAGTGCCTAAGTTCCAGAGTTCAGTAAAATTTATTGGTCATCAGTGTAATTCTTAGCACACTTGGGCTGATAATCAATTTAAGATTGTCAGTCAGGTTGACAGTGTGATACACTTGTGCATACAAAGCTACATATATTAATACACCAGGCCCTGTTCTCGGCAGACAGAACAAAGCCTTGACCAGAGTCAACCTGCTGGCTTAAATTTAAACAATGCTTAACAGATGTTAGTCATCATCTAACTGATGCATTCTCCATGCCAATGCCTTTTCCAATTAGAGTCCACTTATCAAACAGACAGTACACTTTACTCAGACACTATAAAGTTGTTGTTTCCTTTGACATTGGTATTCTTGTGAATTGTCCGAATGAGTGAAAGATGACACATTTAAACAAAATGTGTTTTTTCAGCAATACTCAGGCACTGAGCTCCTTTGAGGCATGTTTTACTGTGGTCCGGTACTGTACTTGTGCTTTCTAGTTCTGCTTTCTCATTACAAGTTAAATGTTCATGCCAGTGTTACTGATGCTGAACTGAAGACCCCAGATTCTCATTTAAAACCATAAAGTGTTACACATTCACATTTTATATCATTTTAAGTGCAATTTTTTTTTGTCTTTGCTATATACAAGTTTACTTTTTTTTTTCTTGTTTTACACTATAGGTTTGATAGACTACAATTTTCATTGTTTCCGCAAAGCAATTCATGAGATTTTTGAAGTTCGTACAACTATGCTTAGGTGCCATAAACAGTACAGAGGACTGCAACGAAGCAAACTGGGAACTGCCAATGGCATACTTGGACTTCACTCGTAATGGCTGCCATGCTCACAGTGTTTCTGTTAGCATATTCAGTAATGCTAAGTAGATATACTGTGAAAATAATGCACTGATAGCATGAAGATAATGCTCAGGATACTAATGCCGATAAAGAAATAGCTCTAAAGCAAGCACTTTGTAAAATGTATATTTTTCTTTAGCAGATGCTGAAAATCAGTATTATCATATATAACTTCTATGTATTACAAATCCCTTTGTAGCAGTTCAGTTCAAAATAAATTAAAACTACTTTAATATGCTACAAATTTCTATTTTCATACGTCATGGGTTATTAACAATGTCACAGAATGTTAAGTTTCTGATTTTTCTCTGTTACTGTCCTAAATTGGTTCTCTGAGGTGATTTTTTAAAATTTCAGATGTTGCATTCAGTTGGTTTAAATAGGGTGTGCATTGTGTAATAATGGCTCTTGCAGTCACTGAGTTTACTGGGGTTGGAAGAACGCACTTCAGGAGTTTTACAGAAAGTGAGCAAGGCAAAGCTTCTGGAATTACCAGACAAACTGGAGTTGGGGTTGCCATTCAGACGAATGAGGGGGCAATCTCATAGAGACTTAGAAAATTCTAACAGGATTGGACAAGGTAGATGCAGGGAGGATATTCCCGATGGTGGGTGTGTCCAGAACCGGGGGTCACAGTATGAGGATTCGAGGTAGACGATTTAGGATGAGATGTGGAGACATTTCTTCACCCAAAGAGTGGTGAGCCTGTGGAACACATTACCACAGGAAGTAGTTGATGCCAAAACACTGAATGTATTCAAGAGATGACTAGATATAGCACTTGGGTTGAATGGGATCAAAGATTATGGGGAGAAAGCAAGATTAGGCTATTGAGGTGGACGATCAGCCATGATCGTGAAGAATGGCAGAGCAGGCTCAAAGGGCCAAATGGCCTCCACCTGCTCCTATCTTCAATGTTTCTATGTTTGTCTGTGCAAAAAGGGGAGGTAATTGCAGCAATAGGTCGACATTTATGACTGTCGGAAATGCCGTCGGAATCTTTGGAAATGCTAAAATGTGTAGATTAGATGGGTTATAGGGTTATGGGTCTGTGTGGGATGCTTTGAGGGTCGATTGGGACTTGTTGGGCCAAAGGGCCTGTTTCCACACTGTAGAAGCAGAAAGAGAGAATAGTTCTAGCAGAGAAAAAGAGAAAAGGAAAGAATAGCCATGGCAGAACAAAAAGGAAAGGATGGCCCTAGCAAAAGAAAGGGAGAAAGAGAGAAATTTTAAACTTCGGAGGTTGGAACTGAAAACTCAAAGTCAACTTAAAATGGCAGAGGTAAAGAAGAAAGAACAAAGAAGAACAATACAGCACAGGAACAGGCCCTTTGGACCTCCAAGCCTGCGCCACCACATTATGCCCTTCCATACTAAAACTGTCTTCACAGGATCCGTATCCCTCCATTCCCTTCCTATTCATGTATTCGTCCTGGTGCTTCTTGAATGCTGCTATTTTGTCTGCTTCCACCACCTCCTCTGGCAACGTGTTCCAGGCACTCACCATCCTTTGTGTGAAAAACTTGCCTCGCATATCTCTTTTAAACTTCCCCCCTCCCACCTTGAACCTGTGTCCCCTTGTAATTGACTCCTCCACCCTAGGAAAAAGACTCATAGTTTTCACTGTATTCATGCCATGCATAATTTTATAAATTTCTATCAGGTCACCCCCCTCTACCTCCTGCATTCCAGTGAGAAACAAACCCAGTCTATCCAACCTTTCTTCATAGCTAAAGGTTGCAGTAGTGATGAGGACAGTGATGAAGAGCAATCGCATCGTAGCCAAAGACCTGGTGGGGATCTGTTTAAATATGTCCGAGTGCTCAACAGTGAACCTGCACAGCTGACTGCCTCTGCTGTTTAGTTTCAAGTATCTCAAGTTTATTCTGAGAAAAATAAACAAACATTGAAATTCACAGCTGACCTTGGAGAAACCTGTGTGGGGTTTTCACAGCAGAGGAGCAGCTAAGTGGCTTCTTGAAGTGTAACCTTACTATGTTTTGTTAAAGGAGTTTGGAAAGTCATGTTGCAGCTGTACAGGACATTGTTACACCAGTTTTGAAATACTGCGTACAATTGTGGTCTCCCTGCTATAGGAAGAATGTTGAGAAACTTGAAAGGGTGCAGAAAAGATTTACAAAGATGTTGTGAACTATAGGGAGAGGCTGAATAGGTGGGGCTACTTTCACTGGAGTATCAGAGGCTGACGGGTGACCTCATAGAGGTTTATAAAATCATGAGGGACGTGGATAGGGTGAACAACCAAGGTGTTTTTCCAAAGGTAGGGGAGCCCAAAACTAGAGGGCACAGGTTTAAGATGAGAGGGGAAAGATTTAAAAGGGACCTAAGGGGCAACTTTTTCTCGTAGAGGGTGGTGCATGTATGGAATGAGCTGCCAGAGGAAGTGGTGGAGGCTGGTACACTTCCAACATTTGAAAGGATCTGGATGGGTACATGAATAGGAAAGGTTTAGAGGGATATAGGCCAAATTCTGGCAAATGGGACTAGATGAACTTAGGATATCTGGTCAGCACGTACGAGTTGAACTGAAGGGTCTGTTTCCATGCTGTACAGCTGTACAACTCTATGTTGCCTACGTTTGACGGGAAGGATGTAGAAGCCTTTTTCCATTTCATTTTAGAAGATGGCTAAACAAATGAAATGGCTAATGACCATGTGGGTAGTGTTGATTCAAACAAAGTTGGTAGGTAGAGCTAGTGAGGTATTTCCACCATTATCAGAGGAGGTATCCGGGCAGTATGATGAGGTGATAAAAGCCATCTTATGTACATATGAGTTGTTACCAGAAGCCTACAGACAACATTTCAGGAATCTAACTTTGATGTGAAATTTGACCCTTGGTCCTATTGTATGTCTATATCTAGTAAACATATTTGAGTAACTCTTCTATGATCCTTTTAGCCATAATACTGCACAGTGGAATGGCCTCTGGAATTCTAGTAGACACATTCGTTATGGTTTACAACTACTGATTTCCAATTTTTGTCTTAGGTAGGGGTCCTACACAAGCAACTACCTTGCAAACTGTTCCTCAAATGAGCAGATTAAAGTAATTTTGATAGGTGGATAAAGGCACTGAAAATAGACCAAACTTATGATGCTCTTAGACGATTATTTTGGATGAGTCCAAAAATTCATTTCCTGAAGTGATGGTCTGAGATGGCGGCAGAGTAGGACGCTCCAGCCGGAGCTCCTCTACTTCGCCAATTCCTTTCCTTTTTTCTTTCTTTTTTTCATGTCTTTACTGCAGATCCGCAACCCCCCCACAACTTTTAAGTTTCTTAAACTTACCTGGACGGAGTGGAGAATGGAGGCGAGTCCGAATCCAGCCCTGTCCAGGAGACACGTCGGAGACTATGCTAGCACGGGAGAAGGGTCCCAGTGGCAGGTCATGGGCCGGACCCCGGAGAAGGAGGCAGTCCGTGCCAAGACTGGCCTAGCAGACCAGACCCAAAGGCGAGTCGCAGGCCGGAGCCTGGTGCAGTAGGTGGTCCAAGCCCAGGCTGGCCTAGGAGATGAGGCCTGGAGGCGAGTCGCAGGCCAGATCCTGGTGTGGAGGCAGTCCGAACCGAGGCGGGTCCTGGAGTTAGGTCCTGGAGGCGAGTCCCAGAGGTGAGTCTTTGGCCAGAGGCCAACGCGTAGAGGCAGTAAGGCCTCATGTTCTGAAGCCTGGCGGCCACGGACTCAGTGAAAAGACTATAATTTGCATGCTTTTTAAAGATACTTTTTATTCTTATTCCGGACTTTGAGTAATGCCAGCACATTTTAAAACTTTGTAGTTCTATGCTAGTGTAGCAGGACAGGCCTGTCAAAATGGCAGAATCGGCTAATACACCAAGCATGCTGGGAAATCAAGCCAAGCATTGGCGAAATTATCTGTGCAAGGATACTGAAATAAACAAGCTGCAGACCCAGACAGGCAGGCTTCAGCTGCAGACAGCACAATACACAATTGACTAAGATAACAAGGTGTAGAGCTGGATGAACACAGCAGGCCAAGCAGCATCAGAGGAGCAGGAAGGCTGACGTTTCGGGTCTGGACGCTTCTTCAGAAATGGGCGAGGGGAAGGGGATTCTGAAATAAATACAGACAGAGGGGGAGGCGGATGGAAGATGGATAAAGGAGCAGGTAGGTGGAGAGGAGACAGACAGGTCAAAGAGGCAGGGATGGAGCCAGTAAAGGTGAGTGTAGGTGGGGAGTTAGGGTGGGGATAGGTCAGTCCAGGGAGGACGGACAGGTCAAGGAGGCGGGAGGAGGCTGGTAGGTAGGAGGTGAGGTGGGGTTTGAGATGGGAAGAGTGGATAGGTGGGAGGAAGGACGGACAGGTTAGGGAGGCGAGCACGAGCTGGGCTGGTTTTGGGATGCAGTCGGGGGAGGGGAGATTTTGAAGCTTGTGAAGTCCACATTGATATCATTGGGCTGCAGGGTTCCCAAGCGAAATATGAGGTGCTGTTCCTGCAACCTTCGGGAGGAATCGTTGTGGCACTGGAAGAGGCCCAGGGTGGAAATGTCATCCAAGGAGTGTGGTGTTGAAATGGTTCGTGACTGGGAGGTGCAGTCGTTTGTCGCGAACTGAGCGTAGGTGTTCCACAAAGCGGTCTCCAAGCCTCCGCTTGGTTTCCCCGGTGTAGAGGAAGCCACATCAGGAACAGCGGATACAGTATACCACATTAGATGTGCAGGTGAGCATCTGCTTGATGTGGAAGGTCTTTTGGGGGCCTGGGATGGGGGTGAGGGGGGAGGTGCAGGGGCAGGTGCAGCACTTCCTGCGGTTGCAGGGAAAAGTGCCGGTGGGGAGTGTGGAGCGGACAAGGGAGTCACGGAGAGAGTGATCCCTCCAGAAAGCAGATAAGGGTGGGGAGGGAAAAACGTCTTCGGTAGTGGGGTCAGATTGCAGATGGCGGAAGTGCCGGAGGATGATGCGTTGGATCCGGAGGTTGGTGGGGTGGTACGTGAGGACGAGGATTCTGATTTGGCTGTTATTGCGGGGAGGGGGTGTAAGGGATGAGTTGCGGGAAATTCGAGAGACACAGTCGAGGGCATATTCGACCACTGTGGAGGGGAAGTTGCGGTCCTTGAAAAACGAGGACATCTGGGATGTCCAGGAGTGGAATGCCTCATTTCGGGTGCAGATGCGGCGGAGGCGAAGGAATTGGGAATAGGGAATGGCATTTTTGCAGGAAGGTGGGTGAGAGGAGGTGTATTCTAGGTAGTTGTGGGAGTCGGTAGGCTTGAAATGGATATCGATTTCTAGGTGGCTGCCAGAGATGTAAACAGAGAGGTCCAGGAAGGAGAGAGAGATGTTGGAGATGGTCCAGGTGAACTTAAGGTTGGGGTGGAAGGTGTTAGTGAAGTGGATGAACTGTTCGAGCTCCTCATGGGAGCACGAGGCTGCGCCGATACAGTCATCGATGTAACAAAGGAAGAGGTGGGGCATAGGGCCAGTGTAGCTTCGGCATCCAGCTCTACACCTTGTTATCTTAGATTCTCCAGCATCGGCAGTTCCCACTATCTCTGACACAATTGACTAAGCCTATTTTCCAGGACAATAGGAAACATCGAGCTGTTTCCAGAACAAAGGGATACCTTATACTCTTATCTGGAAAGGCAACCTGATTTATTGCCCCTATCACATTCAGGAATGGAAGCAAAAACCACCCCATCATCCCCTTGGCAATGCCCGATTGGGTCTGATCAATCAGGGTAATCGATTCTTGATGAAGGCCAAGGTCTAGTGTGATCATGTTTGATCATTCCAAGTTAAATTAAAGTCGAAGATACTGACTTAGATTTACAGTGTTAATTGTCAGATTTAAAGCGTTAATTATTAGTTTGTAGCATAATCGTTATTATAGTATTAATGGTGTTATAATCAATAAAGATAATTTCCTATTATATTAAGAGTCGACTCACAGTCCTTTGCGGGATATACAAGATAAACACACTGTGTAGCAAGCGCAACAAATTGGCACCTCTGGTGGGACTCAATAGGACGTGACTTTGCCACTCTGAGATCGAACCCACAGAACCTAAAATCCCCTGAAATTTTGCCTGAGCCCAAATTAAGAGGACAAAGTCCCACATGATGGCCAGGAATTCAAGTAAATTGAAGGGAATAGAAAGGTCTACACTGGACTGTTCTTTAAAGAATAAAGCCAACAGGTGTTTAACTACTAATAAAGCAAACAACTGTTTAGTTTTGTGTGTGTGTGTGTGTATGTCTGTGTGTGTGTGTGGGATCCTTAGTGGGATAGGTAAGGTAAAATACCAAAAGTTGGTAGAGACCCGGTGGGAATAGGACCGGAACATAGCGAAAGCCATACCCTCAGTCCGATCCACACCAGAAAAAGACACCAAAATAGAAGATTGTTCAGTATAGGAAAAATAGATAAGACAATGCATCAGTAAGAAAAGTGGCCCATACGGGCAGAATTTTGCTATAATGATGAAATGGGACCAGGATCCCAAGGACAAAGGTATTGGGAGGATTTGAGGAAAGTTCAAGGGAAGCGGGCTTCCAAACTTGAAAAACCCAGAGCAATAATTTGCTGTCTGTGACGATTGTTAGGAACTGAGCAGGAATTGAAAAACGTTCATAAAGAGTTAGAGGACGCAAAGTAAGAAATAGCAAAGTTACAACTGAAAACCACAGAGCAGGACCAAAGAAATCAGGCCAACCTATTATACATGGGGCAATTCTAAACTCAATGTGAGAAAGCATACCAAGATATCCAGCGTGCAGTGTCAGCTAAAGAGGCTGCTGAGAGCAAAGAAAGCCAGTTAAAGAGTAAATGTGCAGATCTACAAGCAGCAATAACAGTAATGCACCAATCCAATAAGGAAAAAAATCAGGCAGCTGCAGACCACACTAAGTGCCTGCAGGAGATTGAAAAGTTAAAATCCCAACTCTCAATCCGCAACAGGATAATATGTGCACATGGGGATGTTATAAGAGAAGAAGAGCAGGAAGTAAACTGGGATGAGCTTAGAGAAGATGCACAGCAGTACGCCATGTTCACAGAGGATTGGGATCCACCATTATCCTTCCCAGAAGAATCAACCCCTTCAGCGCCCCCACAGACATCCCATGCTGTAATGAACACAATTACCACCGAAATATAGGTCAGGGATGCCGCTGACACCCCAGCAGTAACATACACCATCCCATTATCAGTAGTACAATTAGCAGAAATCACCGAAAAGATCCTAGATATTGACCCATCGGCAGACCCATATGTACTGTTCGATAGGGTCAGAGAACAAAAGGTTTTGCATGGGCTAGATGAGAGAGAGGAGGTAAAACTCATTATAATGTGTTTGAGCCAGTCAGTGTAGTCTGCAATCCCAGCCCCTCTAAATGTAGGGAAGGCACCCTAGCCAATTTGAAAGGGGCAATCCTAACAGCAAAGCACAACATATACTCAAACAACTAAACTCTTACAGATAGCATGTTAGGAAATGACACCTAACTGAGATCTAGCAACATCGTCAGACTTTACATAAATAGAACATCAAAATTCAAACTTAACAGCTAACTAAGCAAACGTGGTAAACTAGGAATAAATAAGACATTGGGAATTCATAGTGACAATCAAACAAACATTACAAAATAAGGGTTATATACATATATACCAGAAGTGATTAAACAAGGTTCGTACCCATGAACAAATAAACCATAGGATTAAGAAATGTTAGTCCTCTTATCTATACATTAGAGAATACTAGAGAAAGAAAAATATGAGGTCTATATAATTTAACTAATCATATAGGGGAGCAATAACTCGAGACAAACCACCATAAAAAGAGGCGCCCCTTGGACAACCGGAGAGGAAGTCACCATCACCACGTAGATCAAGGCCAAGGTCTTGTGTGGTGATGTTTGATCATTCCAAGTTAAGTTGAAGTACAAGATACTGATTTAGATTTGCAGTGTTAATTGTCAGATTTATAGTGTTAATTGTTAGTTTGTAGCATAATCATTATTATAGTATTAATGGTGTTATAATCAATAAAAATCATTTCCTATTACTATTGAGTCGACTCACAGTCCTTTGCGGGATATACAAAGTAAACACGCTGTGTGGCGAGCATAGCGCTTCTTTTTTACCTCTTCAATTCTGTACAAACACTTAAAGTGTCTGTACCTAAGTACCCTGTACCTAGAGATGGCGCCAAAGCGGTGATATTACAATCATTTCACTGCGCTCATTCGAGTGCATGTGACAATAAAGGCTATTCTGTTCTATTCTAGTGAAGAGTGAGAACTGATGGAAGAACAGAGAGTTAAGATTGCAAGATTAGCGGCGGAAATGGAAGATGATTATGAATTGGTTCACAATTCAAAGTTTGGCTTCCGATATCAATTTCAGTCAAACAGGGATAGAAATTGGGGAGAAAAGAAATCCTCAGCTGGTAAGGGAAAAGGAGATCTCATTGAAGACAGTAAAGATAGTTTACCACTGGGTAAAAAGGAAACCCATGAGGAGGAAAGAGAAGTAGAAAAGCTCAGGTGTTTTCACTACAATAACGTAGGCCACATGAAGTCGCAGTGTTGGTGTCAAGCTCCTTGTAGCTGCATTCATTCAGGCATTTGAAGAGTATTCCATCATACTCCTGACTTAAAGCTTGTGGATGGTACACAGGCTTTGGGGAGTCAAAAAGTGTGTTAATTGCTGTAGGATTCCTAGACTCTGACCTGCTTTTGTAGCCACTGTGTTTATATGGCTAATTCAAAGTTAAGGTAAATCTACTCAGTGACCAGCATTGACATCCAACAATGCTGTACGCTCATTATGCAGTACATAAATCAAATGTCGAGTATAATATGTGGCTTATGTAGATTTCGTGGCTGGCTGTTTTTATTCTTTGTTCTGATTCAAAAAGTTAAAAAACAAATGCTGATTTTGAAAACGCCATGCTCATACATGGTTTTAAAACAAGTTACTATATTACTGAATGCTGAAAATATTTTGCGTAGGTGCAACAATTTACAAAATTATGCAGAAGCAGGAGACTGATCAAGTTTACCAATAGGCATGCCCCAATCTATATACTAGAACAAGAACAAAGAACAAAGAAAATTACAGTACAGGAACAGGCCCTCCAAGCCTGCAACAACATGCTGCCCGTCACAACTAAAACCCCGTACCCTTCCGGGGACCGTTTCCCTCTATTCCCATCCTATTCATATATTTGTCAAGACGCCCTTTAAAAGTCACTATAGTATCTGCTTCCACTACCTCCCCCAGCAGTGAGTTCCAGGCACCCACCACCCTCTGTGTAAAATACTTGCCTCGTACATCACCTTTAAACCTTGCCCCTTGAACCTTAAATCCATGGCCCCTGGTAACTGACTCTTCCACCCTAGGAAAAAGCTTCTGACTGTCCAGTCTGTCCATGCCCTTCATAATCTTGTAGACTTCTGTCAGGTCCCCACTCACCCTCCGTCGTTCCAGTGAGAACAACTCAAGTTTCTCCAACCTCTCCTCATAGCTAATGCCCTCCATACCAGGCAATCTGGTAAATCTTTTCTGTACCCTCTCCAAAGCCACCACATCCTTCTGGTAGTGTAGCGACCAGAATTGAACACAATATTCCAAATGCAGCCTAACTAAGGTTCTATAAAACTGCAACATTACTTGCCAATTTTTAAACTCATTGCCCCAGCTGATGAAGGCAAGCATGCCATATGCCTTGTTGACTACCTTTTCCAACTGCATTGCCACTTTCAGTGACCTGTGTCCCTGTACACCCAGGTCCCTCTGCCTATCAGTACTCTTAAGGGTTCTGCCATTTACTGTGTATTTCCATCTGGATTAAACCTTCCAAAATGCATTACCTCACATTTTTCCGGATTAAACTGCACCTGCCATCTCTCTGCCCAAGTCACCAACCGATCTATATCCTGCTGTATCCTTTGACGTTCCTCATCGTTATCCGCAATTCCACCAACCTTTGTGTCATCGGCAAACTTACTAATCAGACCAGTTACATTCTCCTCCAAATCATTTATATATATTACAAATAGCAAAGGTCCCAACACTGATCCCTGAAGAACACCACTAGTCATAGACTTCCATTCAGAAATGCACCTTTCCACTGCTACCCTCTGTCTTCTATGACCGAGCCAGTTTTTTATCCAGCTTGGACCCCGTGCGACTTAACTTCTGTATCAGCCTGCTATGAGGGATCTTGTCAAAGGCCTTACTGAAATCCATGTTGACACCATCCACTGCCCTACTCTTATCGATCATCTTCATCACTTCCTCAAAAAACTCAACCAAGTTAGTGAGACACGACCTCCCCTTCAGAAATCCATGTTGCCTCTCGCTAATACATCCATTGATTTCCAGTTGGGAGTAAATCCTGTCTCGAAGAACCCTCTCCAATAATTTCCCTACCACTGATGTAATAATGAAGTAATAATGACAGAAATTCTGCCATAACTCCACCTACATGCATGTTTTCCTCACGTGCGTTTGTTTGAGGCATATTTGAGTTTTGTTGCCACGTTTGATAATAAATTTAACTAACTGATATTGACTTAGTAGTTCTGCAACTTGTTTTCAGCTTGGAACAGCAAAACATAGAGAAGCTTATGTTCTTCTAGCTAAGGGTACAGTTGTTCACTTTTGCTTCTCTACCTAGTAATGTTTCTTTGTACTCCACTGATAATTTTCTCTTTCTCCACTTTCTCCCTCTGCTGTTTGTCTCATTCTCATCCAATTCAACTTCTCTTTGATGTTTTCTCTCTGCTGAAAATTTTCATGCTTCCTAAGATTTACCTTTTTTTTGCATCTAGAACAATTGTCCATGTTCCCTCGGTCTTGACAACAGATCACTGCCTGCAGGTATTTTATTTTTGCTTCTGACTTTTACATATTTGAACTGAAGTTGTGAATTTCTGTGTAATGGATAAGGATTGTTCAGTTAAAATTTCCTGCTGTGCCTCTGTCCCACTGCTTCTCAGGCTTTCTTACAATTATCCTTCCTTTACTAGTTTCCACTTTTTACACTCATCTTTGAGATTCTCTCCTTACATTTTTAATTGATGTATTTTTCTTTCCATTTGAATCACTACTAATTTTTCATTTTATCGTGCTGAATTTCAATTTTGAATTTGTGATTTCTCAGTCATTTGTACTAGATGTCCACAGCTGATTTTTGCACGCCTTATCTTTCCCTCTCTCTGCTTCCTCTACCACTTCCATAAAGCTTTTTTTTAAACCATTTAAGGAGGATAAAGGTGATGTTTTTGTCCCTACTAGTCTGTAAACTACATATATTTCAAACTCAGAAATGATCTGAAACAAATCTGGTAAACAGATAAGCACCAAGAAAGAACTAATAAGTTCTAGGTGAAGTTGCAAATTTGGATCCTAAACATTTTTTATAGGATCCATCTGTTAATATTGTGTGATATAGTGAATTTGTATTTTATTTTAGAGTGTTTTGGGTTGTTGTTGTTTAAAATATGGTTCATTGTACCCTGAGAAATCCACAATATTTTAAAACAATTTGTTACAGACGTCAAATGTGAGCAGAGTTTTCAGAGCAGATTGTTGGATGTGGATTAGCCTGTAGCCTCCTCACTATGATAGATCTTAATGAAAAGAAACAACTTCGTAATTATGGAGCATCAACTAGTCAAGGAAATCACTCAAAGAGCTGTGTACAGTTAATAACATAGAGTAAACAAAGCATGGTGTGTTCCTTTGTCTACATTGTTTTTCCCCAATGCTGATTCTGCCTCGTAGGTGAGAAGAATGTTCAGTCACATTTATTTCATTGTAACACCTTTGTTAAATGGTGCACCATTGTCATTCTTTGCAGCGTTAGATAGGACAGCATCTTTTGACCTTGCAAGACTGTATTTGACTGACACTGACACCTAAAATATTATTGACAGAAATTACTTTTATTTATAATTACAGATAAAATATCAGTTTAATATGAAGGAAGTTGCACTTGGTGTTCAGTCAAGATAAAACACTAAGCTTTAGAATTGTCATTTTTAAAATGTATTCTTTCCTAGGATGTGGGCATCACTAGCAAAGCTGCCCATCCAAAATTGCCCTTGAATTGAGTGGCCTGCTAGGCCATTTCAGAGGGTAGATTTAACACATTTCTGTGAGTTTGGAGTCACATAAACATATCTCTAGATCTTTTAGATGATTATTTATAGTTTCATAGTCACCATTACTGGGGCTAACTTTCAGTACCAGACATATTAATTGAATTTAAATTCCACTAGTTACCATGATCCTAAAACATTAATCTGGGCCTCTGGATTGCTAGTGATAATAGCACTAAGGTACTGTTTCCTCCTAGCCAGTGATAAGAATTAAATTCTCTCAGTGATAAGAATTAAACTTGCTGAACATATTCTACATATCAGTTGTCACAATGTTCCTCTTTTAACAAGTAAACACAAAGTGTGCTTGAAGTTATTAATGTAAGGCAAAGAAATAAATGGGACCAAGTATCTGCAAATATAATCTAAAAATCTCAAGAAGTTTTATTACCTATAATTTTGTTGTTTTCTGGACACACATCTCAAAGAACAAGTTATTGTTAATGATATTACCTCCCAAAAAAACCGTAAATCCACGGCTGTTCCAATTTATCTATCTGCCCTCATACTGAATTAAGCAAATCTAGCTAGTTACCTTGACTGTAACTTCAGCATCCAAGCAGTTCATTTTACAATTATATGCATTTTTAAAATTCATTAATGGAATGTGTTGCTGGCCCAGGAAGGTCATTGATGGATGCCCGTTTATTGCCCATTCCTAATCGCCTGGAGAAGGTGATGGTAAGTTGTCTTCTTGAACCGCTGCAATCCCTCAGTGTTATTTGGAAGAGAGTTCCAGGATTTTAACATGATGACAATGGAGGAACGGTGGCACTACTCTGAGGAATTCCTGCAGTGATGTAATAGAGCTGAGATGAACCACAACCATTCTTCTTTGTGTTAGGCAGTGAACCTTGAAGGTAGTGGACTGGGTGCCAATTAAGCAGGCTGCTTCAACCTGGACGGTGTCAGGTTTCCTGAGTGTTGTTGAAGCAGCATCCATCCAGGCATGTGGAGAGTATGCCAAGACACTCTGAACCTTGTAGATCGTGGACAGGCACTGCGAGATAGCAGGTGAGTTATTCGCCACATAGGTCATAGCCCTTGGCTTTTTTTTGTTGCCATAATATTTATGTAGCTAGTCCAGTTTCTGGTCAGTGGAAACCCCCAGGATGTTAATAGAGAGGGATCCAGCAATGGTAATGTCATTGAATGTTAAACGTCCTGGTTCTTGTTGCAGATGGCCATTGGTTGGTACTTGTGTGGTGTGAATGTTATTTGCCACTTATTAGCCAAGTCCAAGGACAATGTGCAATCATGTGCAAACATCCTCACTTCTGGCCTTATAATGAGGCTGAGATGATACACTTCCAACAGCCACAACTATTTTTCTTTTGGCTAGGGATGCAGTAAATTCTGGAGCACAAGTCCTCAGTACTACTTTTGAGTGCTGTCAGAGCTCAAGGCCTTTGCAGTCTCCAGTGCCTTCCGCTGTTTCGAGCTACCCGGGAAGTGAATCGAGAATTGGTTGGAAACTGCGATGCTGGAGAACTCTAGAGGAGGCCACGATGTATGATCGACTTGGCACTTCAAAAGTGGAGCAATCGTGTAAATAATCTTAGTAAGTCAACAGTTAGCAAATAATATTCTCGTTGGTTCAGGCTGGAACATTCCAGAACATCCTTTACATAACATGGGATGAAGCTCGCTCACATCCAGACCGATATTTGACCTAAATATCCTTGTTCAATTTTTCTTTTGCTTTCCTAAACAAAATTGACGACTTTTGTCCGGCTAAAGCGAGTGCTGAATAAGGGTGACACTACCAAAGCTACAAGCGTCACTCATTACTACTGTCACCCTTTATTTCGCATTTACAAAATGCTACCTGTTTTTAGTTTGATGAGTGTGTGCGGGTACTAAATGCAGTCCCATAAATTTGGTTAGTATTGACACCTGGCTGTGAAGTTGAGGGACGGGGTTTAACTGATTTAACTGCGGCCGGCTCCGCCTACCGGGAAACTGGAGGGTGGTACCTTTGTCGCGCCTGCGCCGGAACCACACGTTTAACGCCACGTCACAAAAGGTCAAGTCTCCGCTTACGCTGGAAGGTTTAGGGAGCAGCCCGTTCAAAGCCGGCGCGCGTGGCCTGACAACGCATTGTCCGCGAGCCCTGGGGTCCAGGGACGGGGTCGTGTGACGGTGCCGCTGTGTCCGCGAGCCCCGGTGGGTGGGGTCAGAGTGTCCGCGACCTCCTGAAGCGGCTGCGCCGCCAGAAACTGACAACATGGAGGGCCAGTACAACCTGAGGAATCCGGGTGAGTGAAACGTTCTCCCTTCCTCAATCCGCACCCCGCCCGCTCCTCCCGTTTGATGCCTTCTGTGAGTGTGTGTCTGTGTATGAGCTGCCGCCTTGCTCCGGCCCTCCGCCGCTCCCCCGGCCTGTCGTACCCTTGACAGTTGCTGCCGTCCTGTTGCAGGCCTGTCGTTTTCTGCCCCGGTGTGTGTTGAAGGCCCGAGTTGTGCCTCGCTACCTGAGATGCCTTCAGAATCCACTTGCTGCTGCTCGGTGCTTCGCTGGGCTGGACTGGACAAGACGCGACACTGAACTAGTTTCGGGTGGCTTTAAACATCAGTCCTCGATTCGCTTTTTGCTCTGTTACAACCTTCCTGTAGACAGGAGGATGGTGCTGACGGCACACAGCTCAACCTCTGCTACCTCTCTTAGTCTTGATCCACCTAGGAGTTGTTTAATTGGACTGTTGGTATGGTATCCAGCCACTGAGGAGGATTTCTCTTAACACTCTTCTCCCCCCACCCACCCCGTAAATATTGGGGAAAACCTAAACTGTGGTCGTTGGGCTCCTTGGAGCCACTTGCCATCAGTTCTAATCTCCTCTAGAAATGTCACTGGTTAAAGCAGATAGTTCTGATCCCATTGCCATCTATCAGAAAGATCATCTGTTTCTACTTCTAGAATTATTTGCTCAATTCCTCTGCTGTTTCACTCGCATGTGCCCACACAACCAAGGTCAGCTGTTTCAATATTGGAATCTAATTTATTGTCACTGACCTCCAATGTTAACATAACCTAATCTGTAAAAGCTACCTGACCTGCTGAGTGTTTTCAGCACTTTGTTTGCTTTTAATTTCTGGCATGGCAGTATCTTACTCGGTGTTGTTCTGGCTGGTATTTCATCCTTCATTCCTGTCAGCATCAGCATTAAAACTTCTGCTGCCCTTGCATATTCCATACAAAATCTGATTCGCACATTAGTCCTATTCTTGCCAGTTTGGAAGTTTGTGACCATGTATGGCTTCCGATGAATGTCTGTGAATTCGCTTTTAGAGAATGATAGAACTCATCCGAAATAAATCCAATTTTTTAGCTATTGATCTGTTGGAGTATCAAATGTACTAGATCCCTACAATTATTTGCAATGTACCTGGAATTGCCATGGGCATTTGGGTTTGGGCAACAAATATTGATCTTGCTAGTGATGCCCACACCCCATGTAACAAAAAATTGATATTAAAATTGAAGCATGAGAACGTTAGTGAAAGGTTTGTTTTCTGATATTGTCTCTATGCTACCAATTAGATGGAAGATGAGAGCTATGTGGCCTTGATGTGCTTTGGTCATTCTTGTTAAAATTAGGTTTTGGAGGGATTCATATGGAGTGTGTGCTATTTCTTTAATACCTTTTGAGCATCTATTATTAAACCTGTATGAACTGAACAGTTACTATTTCTTAATTCTGGATCCTCATAATTGTGTTTTGATGGCCACTGGAGGTTAGATGTAAGAATACTGGCCTGCTGAACTTGCTTTTGACCATGTGGGTTGAATTTGAGACAATGAATTCCTTAGGAAAAGGATTGATCAAAAGGGATCGTTGCTCAAGCCAGGCATCTTCTCTGGGTGTTGGCATGAACAGAGGGGTGGTGGAAATGAAGGGTTGTCACCTTTACGGTTAGCCTTGAGTTAGAGCAGGTTTTAATTTTTCGGACCTTTCCTGGTTAGCAAATCAGGTAAGTCAATCAGAGCCTTCCCAAATCTTTGACTCAAAGTTTCTTTTTTTAAGGGTTCTAGACACTGGCTAATTGTCCATCAGATGTTTCAGCTCTGACTATCTGAGGCTGTCTTCTGGTCTGAACTAATTGTTGGTATTAGTGGCCACATCTAAATTGAGTCTGTTGCCAGTTAGTTTCCTTTTTATGTAAGATCCTTTTAATTTTGTTCAAAAAAGTGAATAAGAAGTTATCCTGTTTCACACAATGATTCTCAATTTATAAACTTTGCTATTATACAACTTAAAATACTTTATTTTCTTTAAGCAAAGAAGCTCATGCCAAAATGAATGCAAAGTTTATATACTCTTGAGATTGCTGATAGGAATTCTGACAATTCAAACAAAATGGGCACATTATAGAACTGTGTACTTGAGACTGGAGCATACAACAATTTAAGATTTATATGCCCTCAAAGTAGAAGTGAGTGTTCAGCAGTCAGTATAAGTTATTTTGTAGTCATTTTTAAAAAAAAATAAATTTCAGTACTTGTACCTTGCTTAGTGTTGTTTCAGTGGCAATAACTTAAATAGCTGTATAAGAAATCAGAACTGAGTCAAATTTACAATAAACTTACCTGGGCTAGGATAAGTTTTTAGCAAAAAGGAAGTGTGCTATCTGTGATTCTTAAAATATATCAGAGAGAGAGAAACCGCCAGAAGTTGTATCACAAAGGAACTTGGGTGTACTTGTGCATGAAACTGAGAGAGCTAGCATGCAAGTGAAGCAGGAAATCAGGGAAGCTGATGGAATGTTGGCCCTTATTTCAAAGGGATATGGAGTACAAGTAGGGAAGTCTCGTTACAACTGTACAAGATGCTGGTCACACCACATCTGGAGTATTGTAAGCAGTTTTGGTCCCCTTGTTAAAGGAACAATATTATTTAATTGGAAGCAATTCACTAGGATGATCCCTGGTATGGAGGGATTATCTTGAGCAAAGATTAAACAGGTTGGGACTTTACTTGCTAAAGTTTAGAAGGACGAGTGGTGAGACATGCACCTATAGGTTCAGGAATGGCTTCTTCCCGGCTGTTATTGAACTGATGAATGGACGCTGTAGCCTCAAATAATGCTGATCTTGCTAATGTTGATCTCGTCTACTGTATGCCTCTAAGTTATTTACAACCTTGATCTGTGCATCCTTGTTTACTATGATCTGCCTGTATTGCTCGTGAACAAAGCTTCTCACTGTACTCTGGTACACGTGACAATAAATCAATCAATCAATCTCATCAAAACATACAGGATTGAGGGGCTTGACAGGGTAAATGCTGAAAGGATGTTTCCCCTCATGGGAGAGTCTAGAACCAGAAGGCATAGTCTCAGACTTTAGTAGCACCAATTTAAGACTCAAATGAGTTGTGTCTACTGATAGTCTTTGGAACTCCTTGCCACAGAGAACACTAGGGGCAGAGTCCTTGTGTATATTTAAGGCTGAGATAGATTCTTGATCAGAAGGGAAGTGAAGGGTTTCGAGGAAAGAGCAGGAAGATGGACATGAGGAGTGTTGGATCAACCATGATCTTATTGACTGGCAGAACAGGCTCGATGGGCTGAACAGCCTATTCCTGTTCCTGTTTCTAATGGTCTTATAGATGTGTATCGCATCAAACATGTTTTGTTGACTATAATTTCTTACAGTTGACTTGGCTCTCGTTTTTGGTTTCAGAAGAGGACAACAGATAACAATCTAAATGGAATGTGTGAATTAAGCCTGCAGAAACTGGCTAGCTATATTTCGAATGGAAATCCATTAAGGCCGTATGAGAAGACTTGAGTCTGAGTTGTCTGCAAAGTTAATTAACAAGTGGTTTTGTTTTTACTACTTACTCTTCAATAAACTGAGCATTTATTAATTGTATATAAAGTTCTTAATGTACAAATATGTTTTAAAAAATTGATTAACAACACAATTTCTAAACAAGTAACTGTTTGTATGGTGTCCAGTTACTTTGGCTGACGTCTCAGTCGCCCCGCCCGACATTGTTCTTTCTAAAAACAAAACTCAAGGGCTCAGGTTCTTGATCTCCAATAAGCAAGTGTTAAGAATTTTTATTTTCTGTACTTGCTACCCATTGCCCAGAAATAAAATCTGAGAAATAAGAAGGGAGTCCCCACATTGCAGTTATTAGATTGCAATATCTTGATATGGCTGATTTTAATGCACGGAGTCTAGTGAACTTGGCATATTGTTTAACTCTTGCGCTTTTGGATGTTTCAATTCAGAGTTCCCATTTTGCTGTTATTTGTATGGCTTCATTCAAATGTCTGAGTTCAGTGTTTTACTTGATTAGAGTTCTTTGGATACCAATTTTCTCTTTTTTTAAACCCATTCTGTAAAACTTGGCCTAAAGTGCACCAGATGAAATGTTAATGTATTAACAGTAGGGATATGCTTTGAGTCAAAATACAAAAGGAAAATGGGCGAAATAGAACCATGACTATTCTTTAGAACTGAGGGCACGTCATTCAAAACTAATTGATTATTTCTGTTAAGTCAGCAAGCTTGTTCCTAGGTTAGTTGTGTTCTGTTGCAAGTTTTTTATACACTTAATTGTTCACGAAGTGTGGATTTGTTGGCTAGACCAACAGTTTTCTGCTCATTCCTAATGACCTTGAATAGATGGTGAACTGTTGCAGTCCATGTACGGTGGGTAATCCACAGTGCTGAGAGCAAAGAAGTTCGTGAGCTGAGTGGCCCTGGTTGTGCTGAGATAGAACATTAATGAGCAGGTTATTTTGTTGTAATGCACTTACATTGGACAGACAGGAAGGAAATTAACCATAAAAGTACACGAATATCAACTGGCAACAAAAAGACATGACCGATACTCGCTCATCTCCATCCACATGGATAAGGAAAACCACCAATTCGATTGGGACAACACCAGGATCCTGCAACAGGCAAAGCAGAGACAAGCATGGGATTCCTAGAGGCCTGGTTCTCCACTAAGAAAGCCATCAATAAACGCATAGAACTAGACCCCATACACACTCTGTTGCAAAAGCAAACTGGAAGTGAGGTAATCCAGCTCAATGGACACCAGAGTTTAAAGTACAGGCGGGAAAACACAACAGCACTTCATCGGAGGCTGCACTGATGATGTTACCCAGCAGGGTAATGAAATGTCTGCAGAACAATGAACCAGCTCGGTGAGCCAACCAACCACAGCAAAGAAGTTCCAGGATTCTGAGTATTCAACAATGAAGTAATGGCAACATAGTTCTAAACCAGATTGAGGAG